ACTACTACTACGTACGTACTACTACTACGTACGTACTACTACTACTACGTACTACTACTACGTACTACTACTACTACTACTACTACTACTACTACACTACTACTACTACTACTACTACTACTACTACTACTACTACTACTACTACTACACTACTACACTACACACACACACACACACACACACACACACACACACACACACACACACACACACACACACACACACACACACACACACACACACACACACACACACACTCCTGTCTCAACACAGATATCAGTGTTATCCAGCAGATACCATCTCTGTGTTTGGCATAAGTTTTTCATTTCTGTTTTTTTCAAGTTATCTCAATCTGTACCACATCTGTGTTTACTTCCTGTGATTTCCCACTTTTTGTTTGTTGTCTGTCCTGGCAACATATCACCTGTTTCCCATCAGCCTGACATCACCTGACCTCTTGTACACCTGCATCGCACCCTCCTATTAGATTCAGCTTGTATTTAAATCCTGATATTCTGTTGTGACTCGTCTCAAAGTGCGTACTTCTGTACTTAGACAAACTGTTTTAGTGCACAAGTGTATACAGTTCAAAAAGTGAGGCGTGATGGACACGTCTTGCACTCAATGACCACCATCTTGTCTTCGTAACAGAAGTAATGCGACCAGGTGTGATTGTGGCTGCCGCGTAAACACAGCACTAAACAAATCAAATATAGACGTGTGGATTTCTTCATCAGTCCAGTGACATGCGTCTATACAGGTGTTGAAAAGAAGCCACCGTTGTTATGTGACTGGGTAGATTGAGCAGTCCCCGTGAGGGCCCACAAGAAATGTGCGATTTCAGAAAACCCAACATGGTCGAAATGTGTGCACAGCATAAGTGTTAAGAGTGGACGATTCTACGAAAAGGGAAGAATCCGGATTGAAACACAGCATGTGCTTTTCTGCTCGCCTCATCAGACCCTTGTTTGTTGATGATTTGTCGCGATCAGCAAGTTAGGAGTATTTCATAAAGTTCTCCTGTGACATGTTCAACTATTCGAGTGTGTGTGTGTGTGTGTGTGTGTGTGTGTGTGTGTGTGTGTGTGTGTGTGTGTGTGTGTGTGTGTGTGTGTGTGTGCAAGTTATGTGATGTTTTTCCTTGACTTGAATACAATTGTTTTGCACATAACCTGTGACATTTTCAACTATTATAATCTGTGTGTGTGTGCGTGCGTGTGCGTGCGTGCGTGTGTGCGTGCGTGCGTGCGTGTGTGTGTGTGTGTGTTACCTCCAGCTGTTTCCAGGTGTGTGTCAGGTTGTGTATGTTCTGACTGAAGTTCCCGGGCAGGTGTGTGCCGCTCCTCTTCAGAGACTCTCCTCGGCCCAGCAGGTTAGTCTTCCTGCTCTCCATCAGCATGAGCTCAGCGTGGCTGCTCTGAAACACACAGAGGCCAGAGGGACGTCACACACACGCAGAGGTCGCGTTAACCGAATATATTGTGACGTATATATTTTAACAACGACAGAAAACTCTGAAAGCAGTCAGTCATTTTGACAGATTAGAACAAACTCGGAACAGCGCCAAAGCTTCCCCGCAGCGAGGCTCCGGTGTCATGCCGTGTCATGCCGTGTTATGCCGTGTCCGCCAAAAAGGAAATGATACCGTGTCCAAACCGAACAGATCATTGAAATGTCTGTGAGTTTAGTCTGTACGCTGTGCGCGCTCCCGCGATGTGCAGTGGGAATGCACAACACGGCGCTAACAGTTCAACTCACTGCTTTTTGCACACGTCTGCACAGCCGTCCACTTTAAAATATAATACACTGTAGTTTGCTAAATCCTCTTTATCTGAAGTGTTTTCTATTTTTTAGCTTTTAAGGTTATTTGTATAGTTACATTTAAATTGGGTGCAAATAATTGTCTTTGTCGTCCTTTTGTAATGCTAAATGCTAATGCTAAATTGTTTCTTAAAAATACTTATTTGTTATGATGCTTATATATATTTTTTTTTTACCTAGCAAATTCCTTGATGTGGAAACTGGCAATAAACTTCAAATTCTGATCCTCCACAAAGCAGAAGCTTCACACGCCTACAGGTTGGGAGTGTTTGAGACTCAAAAGCTATATTTTCAGTGGAATATTCCTTTAACGTCTCCTCCGAATAATGCAGCGTATATCTCATTGTTTTTGTTTGCAGCTCATGAGGCAGGCGCTGAGTTTCCAGCACATTTCCCTCTCTGCTTTGACCACGTTCAAAGCTGAAACTGTTGCAGCTAAGAATCAAACGCGGCTCTTGACGTTGAGATTTTAAAGAAATGCTCCATTTTGTTCCACCAAGTAAAGCTGGATATTTCCCTCCCTTTAGTTTCCTGCTTTTCTTTGAGCGCTGTGGTTTGGGAGTGAAGGAGCTGCACAGAAATCTGTATTCATGCCATACTGTAAGTACTTTTCCCCCAGTTTAGATATTAATTGAGCTTTCTGTACAAAATGGACGATGCATTTTCATACGTTCTTGCTGAATAGTAAAAGGTTTTAGACTGTACATTTAAAAAGAATAATACTGTTCATTTTAGGGTATTTCAATCTGTGTAAGCTTATGGTATTTCCCCGTACATTTTACCTTTTTATATCAGTGAAATGTGGTGTTTTCTACATATTAAAACGGTGAAATGTGGTGTTTTCATATTAAAACGGTGAAATGTGGTGTTTTCATATTAAAACGGTGAAATGTGGTGTTTTCTAATATTAAAACGGTGAAATGTGGTGTTTTCTACATATTAAAACAGTCAAATGTGGTGTTTTCTAAATATTAAAACAGTGAAATGTGGTGTTTTCTAAATATTAAAACAGTGAAATGTGGTGTTTTCTACATATTAAAACAGTGAAATGTGGTGTTTTTCTACATCTACTACGTTGATTGACTTTTTGGGAGTTTACGGTCTTTTACTGTTTTTGCCATTTTAATTTTTTTTTACCGTAATTCTTCGATTTTCTTTTTACAGNATATTAAAACAGTGAAATGTGGTGTTTTCTACATATTAAAACAGTAAAATGTGGTGTTTTCTACATATTAAAACGGTGAAATGTGGTGTTTTCTACGTATTAAAACGGTGAAATGTGGTGTTTTCTACATATTAAAACAGTAAAATGTGGTGTTTTCTACATATTAAAACAGTAAAATGTGGTGTTTTCTACATCTACTACGTTGATTGACTTTTTGGGAGTTTACGGTCTTTTACTGTTTTTGACATTTGACATTTTTTACCGTAATTCTTCGATTTTCTTTTTACAGTCTATAAATGTGAAAACTGCACTTTGTCAACGAAGCCCAACTATAAACGATACTTGTGTTGTATTCAATCTGAGTAATGTCTCGTCATGCACTAAATACTCGTGTAATATACTGTAAATATGTTCCGGTACTTTGGGTNGCCAAACAGGGCCCCTTTAATCATCTTAAATCTTTCAGTTTGTACAAATGTTATCAGTTTCTTTCTTCCTGTCCGTCCCTTTAATCCTATGTTAATACTTTTGATGAAAACGTCTTGATTTTCCTGTTCCTGAAATATCCCAATTCAACTTTACACATTGTCTTTCCTTCCTCCATCGACTGTTCTTCTCTCTTCTCCTTTTGTCCTTGTCTCTTCTCCCTTTCCCAACCCTTCTCCGTCTGTTGTCATTACTGTAACACCCCTCTTGTATTTGTTTAATGCTCCCATCTTTTCTCCATCTCTCTTCTCAGTTGTTAGCGTAACTCTCCTTCAATGCCTCCATCCTCTTTTTGCTTAATTCCCCCCCCCTCCTCATCCCCCTTTCCCTTTCTCCTCTTTTCATTTTCTGCATCGATAGCTACTTGATTCTACTTTTCCCTTGTCGTTTATCATTACCGCCCGGCCCCATTTGAATATTTAAATGTCTCTTCTCTGACTCTCTCTCT